CGAAATGAACTTTCGACGAAATGATTGTCGATGAAATGATTGTCGATGAAATAATTGTCGATGAAGTGATTGTCGACGAAATGATTGTCGACGAAATGAATCAGACCCTATTAATTATTAGAAATTGGTGTATTCAGGCAAGAGGTGTCCCCTTTCATAATTAAATCATTGATTTCATTGATTTGATTCATCCATTTCGTAATAATAGTGCAATTAGAGGAAAATGCATTTTTTAGGAAATGACAAATAAAAAAACGCGCGTAACATTTTTAAAAAGTGACTGTGGACCCTTCTCTTGACACTACATCGAAAATTTCTAGCATTTAATTCAAACGACCTTTTGTCCATTTTGGCTTGCCATAATACACACCATAGAAATAGTTGATCAGTTAAATCGATTGATTAATTTCATTACAGTAGACAGTTTCGAAAATTTTAATTATATAGGTCAAATTATGTTCTTTCTAATATTATTGCAAACCTTAGGGTCAAGTTATATATTACTTAATTTTTGGTCTGGGTCAAATCATATAACAAACAGGAATATTTGTTACTGACATATCTATAAAGTTTGCGGGATCCCGTCGCAGCATGCCCCATATTATTATAGACGAGTTTGTGTGATGTCAAGGCAAGTCTGTGTGACACCGATCATATCTTTTTATTTAAATAAATAAAGCTAGGTTAATTGGATATGTCATATAATGCTCCTAAACAGAGGTCAAATGTAAAACTTTTACCCTTCGCAATAATAAAAAACTATGGAACAAGAAACAAAAATAATCTAAATGGTTGCATAGTAATAATACAGTACAAAAGCGATAAAAAATTTTGATAATATTAAATACAGATGTTCACATGTAAATCATAAAAATAAAAGTTGAACTTATTGCTAAAACACTAAGAATAATACTAATAATGTTATATTCCAATGTCGGCTTTAAAGAATTACTATTATTATTCTGAGATTCTTGGTTAGCTGGCGCAATTGTCTTCTTAACGACCACCACAGTACTTGGTGGTATATAAGTTGCAAAAGTTGTCAGTTCACCGTTTGTTCCTGTCGTACTTGTGATTGTCGTATAGCCAGGTATTGTCTCTGTCACAGTTGCCAGAGTTGTTGTAAACTTTGTAATTGTTTCACTTTTTCCATTTTGTGTTATTACTGTTTGAGTTGGTGTTGTGATGGGTTCTTGAGTTGCTGTTGTAGTCGATAATGTTGTAGTGTTTCCTGTGATGGCAGTATTTGATATAGTGGTGGTATTACTATTACTCACAGTTGTTTTTGGCGATGATGGTATAGTTGAATCCACTGGCGTAGTTGGCACAGGTGTTAAAGGATTAGTAGTATTTGGACTGTCAAGGAAAAAATGGATGTAATAGTTGGGAGAAAGGTAAATGAAAAAAAAATGAAAAGTGAAAAATGAAATGAAAAATGAAAATTTTATTCTATTTACACAGGCGTGCTGGTGTCAATCGGAGTTGTTGTTGTAATTGTAGTTTGCGAAGTTACTGGGGGAACTGGGGTTACTGGAGTAGGCGAGGCATCAGGAACTTGTGATGACACCGAAGTATCTGGTGGTTTTATAGTTTCTGTTTGTACTTGTGAGGTCTCTGGTGCCTTTGATTCTTGTGAACTAGGATATTGTCTTTTGTTAAGATCGTTTATAATTGAAGACGTGTAAATTGGTTCGATAAAAATTGTAGTAATCATTATGAGCAAAATTATTATTTTGAAGCATTTTGTTGAATTGGCCATTTTTTATTACTATTATTACGATTATTATTATTATTATTATTATTATTATTATTATTATTATTATTAAATTATTATTATTATTAGAAAGAAAGGTTATTTTTCTTCAGAGTAATTTAATATTTAATATTTTACATTGTTTAATATTTATATAACTTTTTAAATTCCCATCCAAATTAGTTATTAATTACAAATCTATATTTACACAAACGAGAAATAATTTTTCGTCATAGCACATGCATTTATCTGTTTTGTAAATATTTATATTAAAAATAAAAAATTGGAATTAATTTTTATATTTTTTTGATCGCTATTTTCATCAAATAAATCTTATTATTAAATTCATGCTTAAGTTTATTGTTTTTTGCTTTGGCCTTCGCTTGATTATTTTTCAATTCGGCTTTTGGATAATTTTCTCTTGTTTAACTAATTTGGGATTGTTTTTTCTAATTCATTAACTTGACTCGAATGATGTTTTCACTTTAGTATTAGGATTTCTCTTTTTAATTTTAATTGCCTTATCAGCTTAACGATATCTTCCCTTTTGTTCTAGTTGTAATTTTTTTACTGTTTTCTCCCAAATACCCGAAAATAAAATTCTTGGCTTGGGAAAAAGGCGTTTTTTATAACTAATAATAGAGTGGCAATGTTAGTCATATCAAGTTAATAAGGGATTCTTCAATTATTCATAACGCCGGCAGTAAAGTATTTTCCGAATGTCTAATCTTTTTTTATTATAATTATAAATAAATAAATAAAATTTAATTTAAAAGAACAATTGTTTTAACATGATTTTATATTAATATTATTTCCCTAATTAATACAACAATCAATAATAATTTTGATGAATCACGCCGAATTATCTTCAACTCTGCACATTTAAAAAATTGGGGGTTCACCATTACTATTACTTTACAACTTTACGACGAAGGAGTTCTACCATAGAATATTTTGGCTGGTCGTATGACTATATTAGCTTACCAAAAATGGTATCTATTCCTCAGGGATGATCAAAAAGATAATAATTTTCCTTTAAATTTCATTGGTCAAAACTACTTTCACGTGATATTCCATGGCACAAACATTTCCAGCAATCAGGTTTTGCGTTTGTCATTAACTTAATTTTTACAAACAGGTATGTACCCACGAGGATCGTGAGGACCATATTGAAAATAATGGAGCAGGTACTAATTGGAAGCGACAATTTCTTTTGTAGCGTCTTCTGTCAGTTTTTTAACATGCATTTGCGTAAGCATGAACAGTAATTGATCCTGCGTTAGAAAAGTTAGGCGGAACCAAAGTAACCTTCATCCTAAGACAGACCGGGAGAATGTGAATGAGGTAAGTGATGCCCGTTTGAAAATACTGTTCTTGCATTAGTATATGACCAATAATCAAGATTAAAAATTATTATTATCTGTGTTAATTCTTTATGAAAGGTAAATTTTACAAGAATGAGTGAGTGATTTTAATCGTCAAGGATCAATGAATTTACTATTTGTTAATCACCATGCTTTTTTGTATAAATAATCCTCCTATATATACCTTCTTGCTACTTAGTATGATAACTATTGGCACCTTTGCTACTTTACGACTGCAGCAGTTCGTGGCACTAAACGATTAATTTGAAAATATGTGGTATAATATTGTTAAGATAAAATTTATTTATATATGGTCATTAAGGACATCGAAATATATCTACAGAAGTCAAGTTTGAGCTGTTATTTCCTAATTTGGTAACACTTGACCTCTGTAGATGTATTTTGGGGCCTGGTTATTATTAAGTGAATGGAGAATAATAAATATAATTGTTCTGATGAATATTATGAAGCAATTGATTTTTAAAAATGGGTTATGATTGTGGTTGTTCATCAAAAATTCCAAAAGAAGAGTTTGCAGAATTACGAGAAGCCTTTCAAGCTCTTTCTAAATCAGAACAAGAACATGGCAAATTTATTTACGTAACGCTGAATTGTGTAATTCATAAATGTTAATATAAATAATTATTATTCTGTGTTTCCACTTGTCCTTATATAAAATTGTAATTATAAAAAAAATTTATGGAGAACACTTTAAATGAAAATAAACATCATGATGATACTTCTACTGATGATGATGAATATACAAAGAAAAGGGATGGATGAAAAGTATGGATGTTTATGTGTTTCAGATCGTTTAATAATAGTAATGTTGCGCATTTTTTAAATTCTGCTACCGTGATAATGAATTAATTCTGAATTGTTGGTGGCAGGAAAAATATTTTCTTTGCATTTTCAAAAGGGCACGGTTGTTTAATATTAACAATAAGGAATTAATTCCCAAATTACTAGTCAGAAAATAATCTTTACATTTTCAAAAACAATAACGGATTAATTCTAAATTGTTTAGGGAAGTGTTTTGAAAAAGGCTTAATTTAATCAAGTGACTTTTTTTTTAATTAAATTGTTGGGGGAGTGAGTGCTTATGATCAAGATAAGGATAAGAAAAAAGAAACTGATAATCAATCAAATTTTATGAAACATTTTTTGGTCCCAAAGTATTCTTTCCAAGCACTGGTTTAATCGAGTTGTATTCTTTTGCTAACTTTCGTTAATTATTTTGTGTTGGAAAAGTTAATTATAACGTTTACCTTTATAGAATTCAATTAAATATAAATATGCAACACATTTTTAGAAAAGTTATTTTCTGTGTAAGAAAAAAATACATTATGAATGAATGAAAACTGAAAAAATGTCACCAATCGCGTAATATGCGCATGCGCTAACCAAATTGTAAATTAATATTAACTGCAGTCTAATTTCATATAAAGTCCATTAAAATCAAGTTTTTCAGGCTGAAATCATTATCTATGGATTTATAAGAATAAAGAAATATTGATCATTGACATTGATCATATATTTACTATTACTGCTCTTTTTCAATGAAAATTAGTGATCAAATATAATTTATAATAATAAAAAGTCCTTTCCTTAAAAGACATAAAGGCAGCGCAAGTAAAACATATATAAATAAATAGCGTTGTGATATTATGTTTGTTTGTCTGTCATATCTGGAATCATTTTCTGACGGCGAATTATTGGTTAAAAAATAAAATTGATCGACGTTAATATTTCTCTGAGGCAACAAACAATGAATTAATTTAGAATGAATTCTTCCACGGAATTGTTAATATATTAATATCAATATTATATGAATTGAAACACAATAAATTCAGAATTTTACACATGACTTTTTTAAAAAAATAAACGCACGCCTTTTTTCTTTTCTTTTATTAATATTTTAATTTAATGATTCGATCATGAGTTATTTTTGCTAATGATATATTAAAGAACTCCTCACAAAAAGATGATTTTTGATCTTTAATAAAAATATTAAATGCAATCATTTTTTTTAAAAAATATATTTTTCAAATCCTTTGCCTCTAAACTTTACCGCTTCGTCTTCTCTCTCTTGACATCTTCATCATCGTCTCCCACTTGTAAATGAAAAAATTCCTTCTTTTCCTTCTCCTTTACCAACACCAACAACAACAATTATAAAAAAACTTAATTTAGCAATATCTGGTAGGAGTTGTAAAAGTTGTTCTGGTACAATACAAAGTACTCTGCAAAATCTTTCAGGAATCATAAAACCTAGTATTAGCGTAAATTTTTTAACTGGTAATGCTTCGTTAGAATTTGATACTGATAATTTAGAAAAATAATTAATTATATGGAACATACACTATTTTATGGCTTTCCTCATAATGCCAGAATGTAGAAGACATACAGTAGGCTCTTTGAAAAGAAAGGGCTCAAGTGCAATTTCAGAGTCCCAACCTCACTCTGAATTGCGATCTCTTGAGTTTGAAGCAAATTGCAACCTGAGTTGCAATTTCTTAATTGCAGAGCCTAGAAATAGGATTGTTACAGGAAACTTTTCTGCCTTCTCGGAGAGGGAAGATTAGGATTCATAAAAGTGTCCTTGAAAATGATGCAGTTTTGATAAACTTCAGGGACACGTCCCCCCTGAAAATTTAGCAACATCATTGTATCATCGGGGCACACTGATCAGATTAGCCTTTATGCACACGAGGGAAGTGATGATGACTGTAATGTTTTAAAGTATTCAAGGTAATCTACTTCAACGTTTGTAAATTTCCCAGTATCAAAATCATCTAGGGGTAGTTGTCCCTCCTATCTTTAACAGTCATGTTGCTTTTTTTTATCTTTGACACTTTCTTGTAATAATTATACACTTAATATTAATATTAATAATACAGTCAACCTCATCACAGCGGATTGATGGGACCAGCCAATCCGCTATGGTGATGATCATGATCGACAAAATTTTTTTTAATAATAATAAACTAAAAACACCTGATACTAATACATGCAGGAATTAAAAATCTATTTTTTGAAATAAGATGAATATTTGGTTGTATTAATTTTTTTTCGATTATAGTTGTAAAATTAATAAACAAAATTTTCATCTTAATTTATACATTTTGAAATTTTGATCTTTGGAGAAGGATAATAAATCCTGTTCGTTTTATTGCCTAAAAACTTTCAGTTATTTATTTGGAAACTTGGGATTTTGTTACTTGCAAATATTTGAACATACAATCTATTTAATTATTTGTTACTTGCAAGCATTTGATAAATTATTTTAGAAACTTGGAAAATTTTGTTACTTGTAAACTTTTGAACAAATAATTCATTTAATTGTTTGTTACTTGCAGACGTTTGATCAATTATTTAGAAACTTAAAAAATATTGTTACTCGCAAGCATTTGATAAATTATTTTAGAAACTTGGAAAATTTTGTTATTTGTAAACGTTTGAACAAATAATTCATTTAATTGTTTGTTACTTGCAAAAGTTTGATCAATTATTTAGAAACTTAAAAAATATTGTTAATCGCAAGCTTTTGATAAATTATTTTAGAAACTTGGAAAATTTTGTTACTTGGTCAAATAATCCGTTTATTGTTTTGTATTTAAATCCGTAAATTAAAAAAAATTT